ATAAAGTGTGCTTGGGATATGATCCAGCGCTCACAGGGGCTTGCCACCAAGGCTGTCAAGTTGAGTTCGATCTCCCATACCTACAGGTGCAAGGTGGTAAGACTCCAACCCCGGAGCCCTTCAGCCCACAGGCCACGGGGCCCTCACCCCCAGTCCAGGCACGCCTCCCCACGCCCTGAAGCGGGACACGGGTGAGAGGCCGCCCACTGCGGCCCCCGGGAGCGCGACACCCGAGACCCTGCAAAGGGAGGCGCGCGACACGAGCCGATCCGGACTGTGTACACGCCGGATCGCGGCGGACAGCTCCGTCCCGTGACCTCAGTGTGGCCCCTGCAGCGCGCGCAGCGACACGACCCGCAAACCCAGACAGACACTCTGTCACTAACCTCAGCTGAGCAGTCCGGCGCCGCAGCCGACGCTCGGATCTCCCTCCTCTCCGCCGGCGCCCACGCCTCGCGATACTTCCGCTCGGGTCTCGCGAGATCTGAGAAAGCGGCCCGTAAAGAGTAGAGTATGTGCGCCATAGGCGTGTCCAGAAGTTGATGCGCATGAGGACAAACCTCTGTTGTACATCCCCGGAGTCCTGCCAAGGAACCTGGAACCAAAGCTGGGCCAGGGTGTCCCGCTGTCCCACAAGGATCTGTTTCACCACAACTGAGTGCTCCGTAATGTGTGCAAGAGCACAGCATGCGGAGGGAACAAATTTTGGGGCAGTTGAATTTTCCCTGAATCTTGCTACTATGTATACACGGGCAACGTTTTCGGGGTTTGGTTGATTAGCTTGTTTCACTCTCTTTCCTTCGTGAATGAGAATTCCTGGGAAGAAGTTGCATCTGTGAAGGCGGATTGGCTGACTGACTTATGTAATGTCACAGGTCGAGGGCCTGATGACCCACACACCAGTTGTTTACCAGCCTTTACGTGCTGTGCCTAATGGATAAAAGCCTCTTGGTATATATTAACAAAACCCAGTTTCTACCAACCAACCAAAAGGCTTGAGAGTCATCAGATAGCATCCGGGGCACATAGCTGTGATTTATGCTTTGCTGTAACCACTTACTTAATATTTCCCCAAAAGTATATTTTTAAGATTTGTTTATTTACTTACTTATAGTATATACAGTATTCTGCCTGCATGTATGCTTGCAGGCCGGAAGAGGACACCAGATCTCACTACAGACGGTTTTGAGCCAACATGTGGTTGCTGGGAATTGAACTCAGGATCTCTGCAAGAGCAGCCAGAACTCTTAACCACTGAGCCATCTCTCCAGCCCATATGTATTTATTTATTTATGTTTTAGTATTTTATTTTGTGTGCATGCATGGTGCCCTCAGACACTAAATGAGGATGACAGATCCCCTGAAATTAGAGTAACAGATGTTTGTGAGCATCCATGTGGTTGCTGGGAATTGAACCTGGGGACTCAGGAAGAACAGCCAGTGTTCTTAACCCATGAGCCATTTCTCCAGCCCCACCATCAATGTTTTTCTTGTTGTTGTTGTTTGTTTGTTTGTTTCTTCCAGGTAGGGTTTCTCTGTAGCTTTGGAGCCTGTCCTGGAACTGGTCACTGCCTCTGTGGACCAGGCTGGCCTCGAACTCACAGAGATCTGCCTGCCTCTGCCTACCAAGTGCTGGAATTAAAGTCATGAGCCACCACTGCCTGACTACCACCAATGTATTTTTTAAGATTTATTTATTCATTGTGTGTATAACATTCTGCCTCCTTGTATTCCTGCACACCAGAAAGAGGGCATGAAATCTCATTATAGATGGTTGTGAACCACCATGTTGTTGCTGGGAATTGAACTCAGGACCTCTGGAGGAGCAGTCAGTGCTCTTAACCTCTGAGCCATCTCTCCAGCCCTCCACCAGTGTATCTTAAAATTCCTTGATTCACAACTTTGTTCTGTTCCTATAAAAACTTCCTCACTGCTTCCATGCTGAAACATGGAATTTGGAGTAACCTAAGTCTGTGTTTCCAGGCCATGACCATTCACATTTGACTCAAGAATAAATTATCTCTCCCCTCCAACACCCGAGAAATGGAGTCTTACCCTGTAGCTCAGGCTAGCCGAGACCTCGCTGTGTAGCCCAGGTTGACACAGCAATCCACTCACAAACTCCTGTGTGCTGGTGAAACTGGCCTGCCTCTGGGCTCCCCCTTTGGTCATCAGATTCCTGAACCGAAGGACCCCAAGATATTAGACTCCTCCTAAGGGTGTCCTCTCAGGAGAAGAAAAAGCTGAAGCCATAGGGGCAGCCACAAGAAGAACTTACCTCCCTCCATAAAAAGGACTTATGGTCTGTCAGCTAAAGGTGAGGAAAGGCTTAGAGCTGAGACAGTGATGGAACTGACCACACCCAGGCCAGACAGCTTCCTTAGGCCTGTCCCTTGTGTTTAAACCCTGATCCTGTGTCTGTGTCAGCCACCTGAAGTAGGGACTTGGGGATAGCCTGGAACACCGTGTCCTTCTTCCCATTGTGGCCACATTGGATAAATCTTTTTCTGATTTGCTATCAATCTGGCTCTTTTTAATTATTGAGGACAAGTAGCCAAACATGGCTTGTTGGGACACAGCCTGTGATGCTAAATCTCTTAACACTGGGATGACAAAAGCATGTGCCACCATGCCCAGCTGGTGTTCTGTTTGTTTGGATGGAATTTGGGTTTTGCTGTTGTTTCCTTGTTTGTTTGGGTTGGTTGTTTGGTTGGTTGTTTTTTTCTAAGATGGTTTCACTAGGTTGCCCTGGCTATCCTGGAACTCCCACTGTAGACCTCACTGGCCTTGAATTCACAGAGATCCTCCTGTCTCTGCCTCCAGCATGCTGGGATTAAAGGCATGGGCCACTATGCCCATCCTGATATTTTTGTTTCTTCTTTTTGTTTGCTAGGCTAGAGCTCCACCACTGAAGCACATTCCCAGCACATTTTTTTTAAATTCCACAGGGTTTTATTATGTGGCACAGTCTGGCCTTGAACTCCTGGTCATCCTGCCTTGGACTCCCAAATCACATGTGTTACACATGTGTGATAACTCCACAGTGTTGGCTTGAATTACTATAGTTTTGTACTTTTTCCTGTGCCCACTGGAAATCCAAACTCTGGGGCTCTTTCTTGAGCAGCATGATGGAGGGCAAGGAGGGTCAACCTCAATTGATGGCAACGTTTCACACATCCTTGGTGATGGAACCTTCTAGATAGCAGTGGAAACAGTGCAACTCTGATACCAGTGCACTGCATCTTTTTTGTTGTTTTTTATTTCTCAGGACAGGGTACTGGGGATTAAAGGCATGCACCACCACCCCAGGCTTAACAGTGTGTGTGTGTGTGTGTAATGTGTATTCTTTTTTCTTTCTTTTTTTTTTTTTTTAAATTTTCTAGACAGAGTTTCTCTGTGTAGCCCTAGCTGTCCTTGGTCCTCTGTGGACCAAGTTGGCCTTCAACTCACTGAGATCCACCTGTCTCTGCCTCCCAAATGTTGGGACTAAAGGTGTGTGCCACCACCACCTGGCTAACAGTGTGTCTTTTAAGAAGGGAAGTTTTCAGAAAGCAATTGTATCTTCAACTGAACTGTGGGGGCTGATTAGAGCATCCATGTATGTAGGCAGGTTGGTAGGTGGCAGGTCTGGAGCCTAATTAAGACTTTACCTCTGACTGTTCAGACTCCCTAAATAGCCACTCCTTGTCCACCTCTGTGTCTCACCTAACATCCTGTGAATAGCAGATAAAACCTTTGGGATGCATTAACTTGACAACCTTTAATATACAAAGGCCAGATGTCATCAGATACCACCTGAGGCACAAAGCCAAGATTTCTCTCCTAAGCTATAGTCTACTTAATGTTTCCAGTGTGTTTGAAAGATGCCTTGACTGCTGGGTGGTGGCAGGGTATGCCCTTAAACCCAAGCACCTGGGAGGCAGAGGCAGACAGGTCTCTGTGAGTTCAAGGCCAACCTGTGAGCTCAAGGCCAACCTGGTCTACATAGGGATTTTCAGGACAGCCAGGGCTACACAGAGAAACCCTGTTGGAGGGGCGGGGTTGTTAACTACAAAAACTTAAACTGCTATGCTGCTGGAACATGGGATTTTGAGTAATTTAAATGTGTGTTCCTTAGCCACAGTCATTCCTGTTGGGTTCCAGAAGAAACTATCTTATCCCCTTTGAGGTGAAAGCCATGTGTTGCATCAGCACTTTCTGGATTTGGAGACTCTCCACTACCCTCCACAGATCCACTGAGGAGCTACACAGCAACTGCAGCTGCTTGCTGCCAAGATTTGAGTCTGGCTTCAAAAGTCCTGACTGTTTCAAACACCCCATGCCAAACTTCTGGCCATGAAAAGCCTTTGTGAACTCCGGCAGCCATTTTTACCCAGGCCAGAGTGGAGCACTTCCCTGGATCACTCAGCAGGCCCCTGGGGTTAGTGCAGAGGCCTTTATGGCACAAGAAACCGCCGATATTGGTGCAGACACAATTGCCACATCCGCTCCCTGGGTCTGGAAAGAGGTGGTTCTTCTCATTTTTTGTTTTTGTTTCAAATTAATTTATGTCTGTGGGTGTTTTGCTGGAATGTATAATCTCTCCCTCCAGCCACTCAAAGTTTGGGGATTTTCTGTTTTGGTTTTTTTTTTTTTTTTTTTTTTTTTTAGAGTTTCTGTGTATAGCCTTGACTGTCCTGGAACTTGCTGTGTAGACCAGGCTGGTCTCAAACTCAAGAGATCCATCTGCCTCTGTCTCCCAAGAGCTGGAATTTAAAGGCAAGCGCCACCAACGCCCAGCTTTTTCCTCTTCCCTTTTATATCCTTCACTCTCCACCTATCTTCCTCATAACTCTCTTCAAACATGTCATGAACCAGCTGTGGCTGTGTACACTTGTAATCCCAGCACTTGGGAGGTGAGGCAGGAGGATTTTGTGAGCTCATAGCCAGCTTTGGCAACATAGTGAAACCCAATCTCAAAAACAAAGTCAGAAAGATAAAATCATGATACAGAAGACTGTTTTTGTTTTGTTTCCAGAACTTAAAAGCAACCTTGGGAGGCTTACTCAGCCCAGTCGGGGTAATCTGTCACTGAAGAAAGGCAAGCTGAATACTCAGGGTAGGGACCTGGAGGCAGAAACTGAAGCAGAGACCATGGAGGAACATGGCTTACTGGCTTCTTCTTCATGTCTTGCTCACCTTGCTCCCTTATACAACTCAGGACTTCCTGCCCAGGGGTGGCACTGCTCCCACTGGGCTGGGCCCCCCCACATTCCTTCCTATGTCAATCATTAATCAAATTAGCAGACAGACTTGCCCACAGGCAATCCCTCAGCTGGATTCTTCCTTCCCAGATACAGCAAGGTTTCAATGAACAAAAACCAACCATCCCAAAACATATGTTCATACTATGTGCATATGTGTGCATGCGCACGTGGGGGTCAGAGGACAACTTTCAGGAGTTAATTCTCTCTTTCCACTATAAAGGTCCTATAGTGCTATCCAGAGAAAGCACTCAGGGCCTTAGGTTCAGTAGCAGGCATCGTTACTCCATGAGCCGCAATGCTGGCCCCATTTTTATCAAATACACTTTTGATCTCTTTAGAAACCCGGAGGTGCCTCAGGGTGCTGTTCATACCCACAATGCAGCTCAGATGCCAGCCACTCTCAGGAAAGCACTCCCAGAAAGGCAGGGCAGATTCACTGCTCCATGGAGCCCTTCCCTCCCCGGTACTGCGTGGCTAAGAGGTACACCTCAGAAGACTCCTTCCTGCTAGCTTCCGGTTTCACAACCCTTATGTTACGGAATTCCTGGGTCAGTCTCTTCTGTAGCAGGTGGCTTTTTCTTCCAACCCAGGTTTTACACAGCAGTGTCCCCCCAGGATGCAGGATGTCCACAGCCATGTCCACAAGGGTAAGGCACAAGCTGATGAGCCTGTCATGATCGAGGTCTCGGATCCCAGTGGCGTTGGGTGCCATGTCACTCAAAATCACATCTGCTCTCCTTCTGGGAAGCAGTTCTAAAATCCTCTGTCGAGTTCCAGGGTCAGTCACATCAGCAGGACAGAGAAAAGTTGCTCCTTCCAGGGGGATTATGTGAAGAAGATCAACCCCAAGCACATAGCCCACAGGACAGCTGCAGTCTATGGAAGCAACAGAATGCACTCTTACACCATGAATTTCCCGACCAAAACACAAGCCACAAAATAAAGTAAGGCACCAGGACCAAGAAAACTAGCTAGCATGCATAGATGTACACAAGAGGCCTTTTATATGAAGATACATAAGGTAGATGTGGCACAGGCCTATAATCCCAGCAAGCACCTCTTATCCACTAAGTTGCAAACTTTTAATACAGTGCCTGGTGTTTACCCCCAACGGTAAAATATCTCTGTGCTACTTCACAGGTGTAATTCTGCTACTGCTATGAATAATAATGTAAATATCTGACATGTATACCCCAAATGGATCTCAACCCCTGTATTGAGAACCACTGCTGAATAAGACATCTCCAAAGCATCACCATCATCACCTGTTACCCAAACCCCTTCACCCTTGCCCTTTTTTTTCTAAGAGACAGGATCTCCTGTGATGGACTGCAAATGTACTATGTAGCTAGGATCATCTTACACTTCTAATCCTCCTGCCTCCACCTCCCAAGTGTTAGGATCATAGGCCTCTGCCAGCACACCTGTTTTTCTTAGCAGCCCAGCATCGTCCCCAATTTGTCCCATTTCTATAACTATCAACTCTAAGAAAGCTGCTCAAGCCAGACAGTAGTGGTGCACGCCTTTAATCCCAGTACTAGGGAATCAGAGGCATGAGGAAGGCTGTGAGTTCGAGGCCAGCCTGATCTACAAAGCAAGGTCACATCCCAAAGTTACACAGAGAAACCCTGTCTCCAAAAACAAACAAAAAGAAATGTTTCTAATATAGAGCTGCTAACTATCATTCCCTCCAAGCTCTTGACGCCCAGAGGAGCTGGTAATGACATTCACGCCCCACCTGCGCCTGCAGCATTGACTCTCTTCACTGCCACTTGACTCCAGGCTCCCGGAGCCGCCCCACAGTCCAGCACCCGGAGGCCGGGCCGCAGGATGTGATGCTTTTCATCAATCTCCAGGAGCTTGAAGGCGCTGCGGCAGCGGTAACTCTCCACCTTTGCGGCCTTCACAAACGGGTCCTTTAGATGGCGCATCAGCCACAGGTGCTCGGCGCCCGTCCGGGCTTTGTAGCGACAAGCGGCCATGTGGAATCTCTGAACCTTAAGGGGAACGCCTACCAGCTTCGGCTGCCTGGTGTCGAGAAAGGGGTTAGCAGGTGGACATTACAATGGTTTTCTTTCCTTTCTTTCTTTCTTTTTTTTTTTTTTTTTGCATATGTATGTGCGGTATACATGCATGTGTATTAGTATGTGTGTGCATATGTGTCTGCGTGCGTACGGAGACTCAAAGTTGACTGCGGATGTCCTTCCAGCTTGCTCTCTACCTTACATATTGAGGTAAGATCGCCAACCAGTCTAGCTAGCCAGCTTGCTCCAGGAGCCCCTGTCTCTGCCTTTTTAGCACTGGCGTCACATTTGCTCAGCACACAAGCCCAACATTCTGTATGTTCTGGGCATCCGAACTCCAGTCCTCATGTAGGCACAGCTTTATCCTCAGAGCCATGTCCCCAGGCCATACACTCATTTCCACGCAGAAAACCTCGTCTGTACAGGAATAAACATCGTGCATACATGTCCCTATTCCGGGACAGAGGCTACCAGCACCCCTCTGCTGCCCCAGACACTGAGTTCCCAACTTGTGTAGTCCACTCCACGCACTTACACCCCAAGCGCACTTCTAATGCGGGCTGACAAAGTAACTCTACTCACCAAGCCATGGGTGCTTGCCGGTGGTTTCCTCCCGCCGCCGGAAGTCCGGCCCTTGGTTCCAGCGCAAGGCCCCGCCCCAGGAAGAAGTAGCTGGGGCGCGAAGGTATGGATGCTTCGCGGTGCGTGGGAGCTGAGCTCCGGGGAGACGCGGGAGGTCGGGGGTGTTGGGGTGCTGGGAGAGATCTGGGGATGGGAGAGGGCGGAAGGACTGGAGTGCTTCTTCAAGCCAGCCAGGAAGACTAGGGTGTTGCTTCAAGCCAGCCGAGAAAACCGGGGTACGGGGTAGACCTGAGATCGGAGAGACCAGGGGAAGGAAGTACAAACTGTAGGGAGCAGAAGTGAGAGGGAAAGGGGACCTGGAACCTGGGGCTTACTGGTGCAGGGGCAGTTTGCAGCCAGGTTGCAAAGGTTGTATAACCCCAGGAAGGGAAGGCTCGGGAACAGCATTTGCAGAGTGCCCCCTGATGGCAGGTCTGAGCTCTGCACTCTATCTGCATTGCCTCCAACAGCTACAACAGTTGATCTCAATTCAGACCTGATAGTTGTCATCACCCCAGCCCCTAGCATTTGAAAGCATCCAATTTATCATATCACAGCTACCTGAGCTGAGGGAACACTAAACTGACGTCAAGGACACCCTATTTTCTTTATAGGCTCTGCCATTTGACCCCGTTCAAATTTAGACCACAGGCATCAGTTTTCTCCTCAGAAAATGTGAAAGTAAGCCTTATACAGTTCTAAGTCTTACTAAATGGAGTTGCTTTTGAAAACAAGGTTAATTGGAGCTGGGCTGATAGATGCCTGTGAAATGCTTGCTTCACATGCTTGAGGAGTTTCAAGGCCCAGAACCCACATAAATAGTCAATGTGGCTTGCACCTATAACCCCAGTGCTGGGAGGCAGAGAAAGCTGGATCCTTGGAGCAGTCTGGTCAGCTAGTCTTACTGACTCCATGAGCTAGAGGTTCTAATGAAAGACCCTGTCTCAAAAGAACAAAAACAGCCAGGCAGTGGTGGCACATGCCTTTAATCCCAGCACAGGAGAGGCAGGGGCAGGTGGACATCTGTGAGTTTGAGGCCAGCCTGGTCTACAGAGTGAGTTCCAGGACAGGCTCCAAAGCTACAGACAAACCATGTCTTGAAAAACAAGAGAGAGAGAAAGAGAGAAGACAAAAATGTAGATGTAGCTAGGAAGCTGGATCAGTGATTAAGAGTGCTTATCGCTCTTGCACAGGTCCTGAGTTTGATTGCCAGCACCCATGTAAGGTGGCTTGCAACGACCTGTAACTCCAGCTTCAGAGACTCCAACATCCTCTTCTGGCTTTCACAAGCAGCCACATGAATTTGTGCATGCAAAGAGAGACACACACATACATGCATACATACATATATGCAAGTACAACCTTTTTTGAAAATAAGAAATGGGCTGGAAAGATACCTGTCTGCTCTTGCAGAAGACCATGGTCAAGCTCTCAGCACCCACATCTGTTACTCCAGTTCCAGGGGAGCCAATGCTTCTTCTGACCTATGTGGGCACTGAATGCACATAGTGGGCAGACATACATGCAGACAAATTCTCATACACATAAATCTTTTTAATATGAAAAAAATAATGCAGAGAGCAACCCATTGTCAACTGTGATCTTCACACACATGAAGGGACATGTATATACATGTGTATATGAAGGGACATATACACTCATGTGCACTTGCACATATCACATACACAAGGCTAATCAGCCATCTATATCTGTGGGCTCAGTATTAGACCAATTCAAACCAGCAAATGAAAAATATTCTCCAACCCCAATTAACCTTGTTTGGTAGAACTATCCCACTTAATAAACCCAAACACTGTGAAATAAGATATTTCCATTTGCAGAGGGAAAGTAATGTGGGGATTATGTTTAAAACAATGTCAATCAACAGAGCCATAGCTGAGCCCATTCTACTGGATTCCAATCTATATAGAGTCCAATCTATATCCTCACAACAATTTCACTGAGACAGGTAGGTAGCTGAGCATGCGGGAAGGAATATTGTGAGTTTAAGTCCAGACTGAACTACATGGCATGACTCTGTCTCATTTAAAATACTTGCAAAACAAATCACTCATATACTGAACATGTGGACATCTGTCATTACTTTCTACATGAAAACTGTTTACACAGTATTTGTGTTACATTTAAAGTGGGCTAGAGGATGTGTGTGTGTAAGTTATATATGCAAATATGCCATTTCCCTAGAAGCGGTTTCACCATGCTTCGATTCTGGTATCCATGGTAGGATGGGGTATCCTAGTACCAGTTGCCTGTGGATATGGAAAAACAGGTGTATATAGCTGGTGCATGTAAGAGATGGCTGACTTTGCTGTGTTAGGAAGCCAGGACCTAAGGCATGGGCAAGTCAGTGTCAAGAGGAGGACACAGGCCAATGTTAAGCCCATTTCCTTTGCTGACCACTCTCATCACCAAGACCTAGCTTCCCTTTTCTTTCTTTTCTAAGTTGTTTTGTTTGTTTTGCTTTGTTGAGACAGAGTTTCTCTGTAGCCCTGGCTATCCTAGAACTCACTCTGTATACCAGGCTGGCCTCAAACTCAGAGATCCTCCTGCCTCTGCCTCCAGAGTGCTGGGATTAATTAAAGGCATGCACTACCCCCACCCAGCTTTTTTTTTTTAACTTATATTGTATGAGTATAGATGTTTTGCTTGCATTTGTGTCTGTGTACTCTTTGTTCCTAATGCCCAAAGAGACCGAAAGAGGCCATCAGAACTGGAGTTAGACCATTGTGAGCCATCATGGATGCTAAGGATAGAATCCTAGTGCTCTGGAAGAGCAGGAAATTATTTTAATTGATGACATTTCTCTTAGGAGAGTACCAGTTTAGGAGAGGCCAAGGAAAGAAAAAGCACCTGCCTAGAAACCCCAGTGAAGGACTGGGGGTATGGCTTAGCAGTAGAGCACTAGTCTAGCATGCTCAAGGTTTTGAGTTCCATCCCTCTAATTGAAAAAAAAAGGGGGGAGGGATAGGGCTCAAAGACACATTTCATCTGCTCTGGAAACCACAGGGAAATGTATGCTGTGGCTGGGAAATTACTAGCTAGCCTCATTTTCCACCTCCCCCAGCATGGACCTCCTTCCCACCTGGCTACCATTCACTACCACACATTTGATGCACACTCTAACAAACCGCAAGCCAAGCATACCCCATTTTCTGACCCTCTTCACAGGACCCAGGAGACCATGGGCACCTCCAGGCTCTATACGCTCGTGCTGGTGCTACAGCCTCATCGAGTTCTGCTGGGCATGAAGAAGAGGGGCTTTGGTGCTGGCCGCTGGAATGGCTTCGGGGGCAAAGTGCAGGAAGGAGAGTCCATTGAGGATGGGGCTAAGAGGTGAGGAAAAGAGCCACAAAGGCAGGGGATGAAGACTTAGAGAGGAGGAAACACCTGAGATTCACAGATGCTCTATAGACCAGGCTGGCTTTAAACTCACAGAGATCCACCTGCCTTTATCTGCAGAGTGCTGGGATTAAAGGTATATGCCACTATGGCCAGCTTTTAAAAAAATTTTGAAGCGTCTTTCTACATATCCCAGCTGGCCTTTAATTATATAGCCTAGGTTGGTCTCAAGGCCCAAATCCTCCTGCTTCAGCTTCCTGAGTGCTGGGATTATAGGTGTGCAATATCATGCCTAAATTTATATAATTTAATTCCTAAATTGGATATAACAACACCTCAGCATGATGTCCTCCTAGAGTATGCAGGCCACAGTTCCTGAGGTTACACTCCCATGGCCCTGGCCCTTCTAAGCATGGATGCCATGAGCTAACGCCACTTCTTCCTTACCCATCTCTGCTGCAGGGAGCTGCAGGAAGAGAGTGGCCTGACAGTAGATGCATTGCACAAAGTGGGCCACATCTCATTTGAGTTTGTGGGTTCCCCCGAGCTGATGGAGGTGCATATCTTCTCTACTGACCATGTGCATGGGACGCCCACAGAGAGTGATGGTGAGCCTTGGGCCCTACTTCCCACCACGGGCAGGGAGATGCATCCAGCCTGACTTGCCTGCCCAGGAGAAAGGAGTCAGCCCTTGCCAAGTGTAAGCCCCAAGTCTGCCCACATTCCTCCTCTTTGGTTGTCCTCAGAACCAAGGACAGACAGGCAAAGCAACCTTGTAGCCCAAATATGAGCCCCCCCCCCCACCTTTTCTTTTTGAGACAGGGTTTCTCTGTATAGCCTTGGAACTCACTCTGTAGACCAGGCTGTCCTTAAATTCACAGAGATCACCAGTCTCTGCCTTGGAACGCTGGGATCAAAGCCATGTGCCACCCTTGCCTGGCAAGGTACATGCCTTTTTATTCCAATATGGAAGAGACGGGTATCTCTGTTAGTTCAAAGCCAATGTGATCCACACTGTGAGACCCCATCTCAGAAGTAGAAGGAAAAAGGGAAAGAAGAAAGGAGGAGGGAGGGATAATAATAATAATGTAGCTAGGGTGTGGCTCAGTTGGCAGGGTACCTCACTAGCAAGCACAAGGACCTGAGTTCTACCCCCTGCAATGACATGAACCAGGTGTGGTGTTGCATGACTGTAATCCCAACACAGGAGATTAGCTCTTAGTAAACAAGAAAGTAACCAGGTATGGTGATGCAGGGCCATAATCGAAGCATCTGGGAGGCACAGACAGGAAGACTAAATCTGAGGGCATGTTGGGTTACAGAATGGCTTCTAGGCCAGCTTGTGCTACATAAGCCTTTAAAAACTAAGAGATGGTCATGAGCATGAGATTAAAAAAAAATTAGACCAGACTCCTGTCTCAGATAAACCAGGCACAGTGGTACACTTTTATAATCCCATCACCAAGGAAGCTGAGGCAGAACTGCCAAGAATTCAAGACCAGGCTGGGCTCCATACTGAATTCCAGGCCCACCAGGGCTCAAGGGAAGTTCCTGTATCAATGAAAATAAAACAAAGCAAGCATGGTATCACACCCATGTACACCAACCAGGAAGCTGAAGCAGGAGGATTGCTATTTATTCCAAACCAGTCTGGGCTACAGTGTAGAAACCCTATCTCAAAAAACTCCAGGGGATGGAGAGATGGCTCAAGAGTTAAGAGCACTGCTGCTCTTGCCGAGGACCCACCTGCTTTTCCCAGTACCGGTAACTAGTTCCAGGGGATCCCACGCCCTCTTCTGGCCTCTGTAGGCACTATGTACACATGGTTGCAGCAAAACACCCATGCATATAAAAAAATGTTTAAAGAGGAGAGAGGTTGGAAAGTTGGTTCAGCAGTTAAGATCACGTACTACTCTTCCAAAGAACCCACACCAAGTGGCTCACAACTGACTAACACCCACTTTAGGGGGATCCAAAGCCTCTGGCCTCTGTGGGCATTTGCACTCAATATGCCCACACACAGACATACATGCATAAATGCAGTCAAAAATAATTTAAAACCTGTAAAAAAAAAATTTTTTTTTTGACAAGTAACAGCAACTGGCAAAGTCCAAACAGCTGGACGGAGGTCTCACTGGATCAAGAGCACTTATTGATCTTCCAGAGGACCCAAGTTCAGTCTCCATCACTCACACTGGGCAGTGGATGACTAGCTGTAACTCCAGCTCCTTTCTGGCCTCCTCTGGCACCCACACGTGACATTAATTCACACAGACATACTCAGATACACAGCAGATCTCTGCATTCAGGGTCAGCCAGGGCTGCATAGTGAGACCATGTCTCAAACAAAACAATAACTCCAAACAGGTGTTCACACAGATTCAGGGGGTAATCCCTCACGGGTTGGCTGAAATCCATGCTCAACATCAATGTTCTCCCTCCTCCCCACCCACCCCCACCCCAATCCAGAAATGCGCCCTCAGTGGTTCCAACTGGACCAGATTCCCTTTGCAGACATGTGGCCTGATGACAGCTACTGGTTCCCACTCCTGCTTCAGAAGAAGAAGTTCTGTGGGTACTTCAAGTTCCAGGATCAGGACACCATCCTTGACTACTCCCTTCGTGAGGTGGATGAATTCTAATACAGATGTCTGGTGGGTTCTAGCCACACTCAGGTTGCTACACAGCCACAAGTTGTCAGCCCAAGGCCACCACAAGGAGGGGCTGGTATTTTCTGTTTGCAAAGTGTTGGGGTCGGAAATGTGAAATGTCACTGAGGCAGAGTAATGAAAAGGGAACTAAGTCACTCAGGATCACAGAGCTGTGGGGTGGGCCCTAAGGTTTTATGGGTAGGTCCTACTTCCTGTCTGCTCTCTGCTTCTTCATGATGTGACCATCTCATACTCCTACCACTGCCATGATGGACTGCATCCCCTCGATTGATCTATGATTGATCCAAAATAAACTTTTGCTCCCCTAAGTTGCTATGTGAGTGGCACAGGTGACTGGATAGGAAAGAAAGAGATCCTGCCAGACACCAAGACAGCCAATTCTTTGTCTTGTCATACTACCTCATACAGGGTGACAGACACCAAAGGATGGGTGAAAACTTTTTTTATGCAGGAGTGACAATCTAAATGGAAAAGTAGAAGCTCTGAAATGTTTGGTGTGGGTAGGATGCCAGGAATCTGAAGAAAAACTGTCAAGAGCAGGGTACCACAAGAGAAGCTAGAGCTGTGGGTCTCGGGAGGCACAGTGGTGTCTCAGAGAAAGACAAGCATTCCTCTCCAGGCATATATACACACATATATCATACTCAAAAACCAAGTAAACTGATAGCTCAAACTCCCTAAACCTACAGGGGCTGAGATATGTGTTGAGAGAAGGGCATAACTGCAGCCCTTCTCTTGAATTCATTTTGTAACTAAGTGCACGGAGTAGGGGTAATGTGCATGGAAGTACAGGTACCATGAAGTCAGAGATGGTAATTCCATTGGAGCTGAAGTTACAGGACATTGTGAGCAACCTAATGTGGCAACTGGGAACTGAACTCGGATTCTCTGGGAGAACAGCAAGTGCTCTTAACTGCTGAGCCATCTCCTCCAGCCCCTATGTCAGTTTTAACTGTCAATTTAGAATCACCTGGGAAGAGCATCTCAGTGAGGGACTGTCTAGATTAGGTCAGCCTGTGGGATCATCTTGATTATGTTAACTCAAGTAGGAAGATCTGCCTACTAGGAGTGGCATGATTCCTTAGGAAGGGATTCCTGAACAATATGAGTATAGAGAAAGCAAGCTGAGTACTGACGTGCAGGCTTTGATCTATTTTCTGCGTAATTCTGGGTGCAGTGTGCTCAACTCTTACACTTTGACCCCACTCCCCCAATATGTTACTTTTGTTGGGGAATTTCATCACAGCAACAGGAAACACACTCAGCTGGTTTGGCACCAAAAAAATGACTCTGCAGTCTGACCTTGACAGCCAGTGAGTTTACCATGGTGACTTACAGGTGTGAACGAGGGCTTAGCTCACAGAAGAGCTGACCACAGCATGGACTAGGACTGAGAGCGCAGCCCTGGAGAGCTGCTGTGCAGGAGGGCTTGACGGGGCAGCATCTTCTCCCCTTAGCAAGTGTCACTGTGGGTACCACTGCAGGGAGGGACCTTGTGACCCATGTACTTTTCAGATTTCTGAAACCTGTAAACTGAGCAGATCTTCTGAGTCTGAGGAGGCTTCATCCAGGAGGAAGCAATGCTTCTATATCCAGGAAACTGCTATAGACACTCCCCCTCTGGGACCACCAGGCTAGGGGCAATCGCCCATCCTGAAACTTAAGACTCCAGTTTCAAGACACTTTTGGCTGTGTTCATGGGAGTTTGTGGAGAGAAATGGCAGCATGGAAACCATATGTAAACACTTCCAGTTTATTGGGTGTGGCAGTAACTGATTCCCGCAGTCCATAAAGTGCTTCATTCATCCAGCCGAATCCCACAGCACCAGCTTCCTGACTCCTTCAGCCCAGAGTCCCCACAGCAATGTCACAGAGCCCTGTTGACCTGCCTAGCTCTTCATCTGGGCAGGCTAACACAGAGCAGGAAGCACCCACAGAGAGCTCCCTTCGCTCCCACTGTGCTGGTCCCAGGCTGTCCAGTTAAGGGCCCCTGCTCAGCTCAGGAAAAGGAGCAAGCAGGCAGGAGACCTGTCAATACTTGTGCTTCCCATCTTTCTGGCAGCTCCAAGAACGGTGGTGTGGCACACAGCTTGGGCAGCAGGATGCCAGAAGGGTACAGGGACTCTTGGCTCCCTTGCACCCTAAGGATGGAACCTTTGGAATCAGGCACCCACAGCTCAGGCAAGGAGTGACTATGTGAGAAAAGGCAGGCTCTACTGCCGTGCTCTGGTGGCCTTAGAGCACTCAAAGCACTGGGGTAGGAGAGTGGGCTGGGGCAAGAGAGCGGGCCAGTAAGGAAGCTGTTCACATCCAGGTGGAACCTGCTTCCTGACAGCCTGGTGGGAAGTGGCCCATACTCTTGACCCTGAGGCCTGGGCACACTACAAGGATACCCATCTCCAGTGCTCCTCCACAAACCCCTCCTCACTCCCACCCTCCGAAACATAAGAAAGGACCCTGAACCCTCACCCACCGTGGACCCTGAGAGGCCTTGGACCAGGGCTTCACAGCCAGCACTGGAATGAAACATGTCCTCCAAAGCACCAAACCACTGCACACTCCTACTTCCTGCCTGGCCTCTAATATACCTCCCATAATGTCTGCAGTCGCAAGACTGTAGTCACAGGCCCACCCTCAGAGACTGGCCAACTCCCTACCAGGCAGTACTGCCAAGCCCCAGGGCAGGCTAGCCTTCCCACTTCTTCGCTGCTAGGTTAAGCCCGAGGCTCTCCCAGCACTCAGTGACCATTCCACACTCCCCCAGACACCACTTGCTGGTTACAAAAGGCCCTAAGCACTGTGGGCATTGGGCACAATCCATTCCAAAGCACCCCAATTTCCCACTACTGACCCGATCAACAGGCCATGGGGCGGGCTGGGAGCACAGACCTGCCCAGGAGCAGGGAGACACAGAGACCACCAGCACGGCCCACAGGCAGCTCAGGGCAATGGCTGCTGCCTGGAGGGAATCAGCCAGGGACACACTGTTTGCAAAGAGGATTTAGTGAGGCCACAGGGAGCTCTGTTGTGGGCCTTGCCACTAGTGGGGACACACACCATCCTCCTGTGGGGAGCGTGGTGGCGTCAACACGCTGTGAGGTCCAGCAAAGAGACAGCTCAGCTTCGGCTTCAGGTCATTCCATACCTTGCTCATCTGCAAGAGAGGAAGAAAGGGAGGTGAGGAAAGTGGCCACAACCTGGTCCATGTCAAGCCAATTCCCACTCTCTGGTGGCTGAACAGGAGGGCGCTCATCACATTCCCTCACATACCAGGCTCCACAACCAGAGCTTCTAAAAGTGAAGGCAAATCACCCTTATTCTCTCAATGCTGACCCATCCTCCAGAGGCACAGAGTGGGATTGTGAGTTCCAGGCTAGCCTAGGTTACACAGTGAGACCTAAAAATCAAAACCAGGGTTGGGATATATAGCTCAGGGTTTGAGTGCTTACCAAACATGCATGAGACCCCAAGTTTGATCCTCAGCACCCCATACAAAAAATAACCAGAACTTCTGCCTCGAACCACCAAGATTTCGCACTCAACGTGCACAGTCCAGCCGCCATGTATTCACAAAGCCCCTGACAAACTTCTTTGTGTTCCCTGATGGCAGGGACCAGCTGGAAGGTACACAGCCTCTGCCCATCAACCAAGCAGTGACGGCTCTATCGGTCTGTAACTATGATACCCAGGCCAACATTTGGAAACGAGTGGGCTTGTACCTTCATGCCATTTTTCAGATCTTGGACCCACACAGGTTAAAAGAGTGTCTGCCTGGCATGCATAAAGCCCTGAGTTTGGATCTCCAGCACCACATAAGCCAGGTGTATGACATGTAGGAGATAGAGGCAGAATATCAAAAATTCAAGATCAGGCCTTCAAGATGGCTTGGCCGGTAAAGATGCTTACTGCCAACCTGATGACCTAAACTCAGCCCCTAACAGAGCAGAAAACCAAATACCCTCTTGGAGGGAGATGAGGCTCCCATTGCCACTGGGAGGCAACTGAGTCACTTGGAAAACCAAGGAAATTCAGCTAGGGAAGATGGGTGCCTGTGTGTGAGGGGGCTACATGGGACTAGAAAAGCAGATGTGATCAAACTGGCCTTCCAAATCCTAATCAGAGTAACCCCATTGTGCAGCAAACCACCATTAAGCAACATGCCAGGCTGAAACCAAATAGGCTGTCTCTCCCTCCCAAGGCTGGACAGCATTTTCTAGACCAGCAGGATTCTGATAGGGTTAAGGACAGAACACACACTGACACAGAATTCCCACTGGGCTCTGAATGCATCTAATGTTGTCTGAGCCAGTGGTCACCTCTGCTGCGTTGATGTTATTGCTCTGAAGCCAGATTCCACTGTAAACTCAAAGCCAGCTAATGCAAAAACTTAGGAGGACTAAGGTAAATCTGAATTTAGATGCCCAGCACCCAAGTAAATGTTGAGTGGATGCGGTAGCCCACAAAGGGAGACAAACGATCCCCTAAGCAAGCTGGCTGGGTAACCTAGCAGAATCAGTGACCTCTGGGTTCAGATAACTGCAACTCTGCCTCACAATCTATAAAGTGGAGAATGATCCAGAAAGACTACTCACATCAACCTATGACCTTCACGCGCATACATATGGGCCCATACACATACATTCATACATACATGCATATACAACACATATGCATACAAAAGATAAAATGAATGACAACAAAAAATGGTAGAAAGCAAAATGTCCTTGGGTATGGTGGTACACGCCTTTAATCCCAGCAGAGGCAGGCGGATCTCTGGAGTTCAAGATCAGTCAGGTCTATCTACAAAGTGAGATCCTGTCCCAAAAGGGAGCAGGAGACACTGGCAAGATGGCTCAGAAGTTCTATGAGCACTCACTGCTCTTGCAAAGCATCTGGGTTTGGTTCCCAGCACCCACATCAGGTGGCTCATAACCACCTATACCTCTAGCTCCAGGGGATTTGATACCGTGTCAACTCCTGCATACATGTGATACCCATTAGCTCATGCATAAACATAAATAATGAGTAAGTAAAAATTTTAAAGGTTTAAAATAGGGACTTGGTTGTTGGGGAACTGGTAACTTAGGAGGGGAAGTGCAGTCATCAGTAAACACCACCACTCCGCTGTAAGTAGCCCCCAAAGAACTAATTTTACTCATTATGATGAACTTCAGTGAATCATTACCTGGGCTGTTCTTATCACCCCAGTTGGGGGACGGGCGTTAGTTTTACAAGCATTAGATTTACACGTCCCTGCAGGCCACCCCCCCCACACACACACACAAATCACACAACCAAGGAGCTAGGCAGGCGCCCTCTCTGAAGCTGCCTCAGCCCTAGCTGCTGAAAGTGAGAAGAGTGGGAGACACATGTGGAGGTCCCAGAGCTTGAGGCCACTCACATGGGGCAAGCACCCCAGGCTTTCCATAAGCGTCTTCCCCAGAGTCTCCAGCAGTTACACCTAAACGCAGCTGACAGGAGCTTCCAGGAAACTCTGCTGTGGTGCAAAGTGTTCCCGGCCAAACTAACCGCTACCACCTCTCCCCCTCAGCTGTAGGGCTTGGAGATTCTCTATGCTTTCCCTGACTCCTAGAGTTCTCCTAAAAGGAATGAACTTCCTGACATTTTTCTGGTCCTGCTCACAAGTCTTCAGTGACACCATCCTGGCCACACAAGAGGCTGAGAGACCTAGGAACTGTTCAGGCCAATGGGTATCAACTCCATTCTCGAGGTCACTGACTACAGGCCACAGGCCAGGCAGCTGAGAACAGGATGGCATTAGTGACAATGGAGACAGAGGTGACTGACCTCCTTGTGCCCTTGGATCTGGGAGTTCACGAAGGCCCCCAGGATGTGCGAGGTGAGAGGCAGGTAGACGTGGACGAGCTGTGTCTCCTGGTGCAGGCAGTACAGGGAGAAGTAGTTTCGGAGCTCCATGGTCTGGATCACATTCTCCTGCTGCAAACAGAGAGCTGATCTGTGCAATGGACCCTCGGATGTGGGACAGGGCATCTGTTCCGAGCCTGGGGGCTGGCCCCTGCCCTCATATCCACAGGAGGGATCGCCAAGGAAATGCAAGGCCTGGCATGTATTGGCAGAACCCCTGGAACAGCTCCATCCTCCACCAGACCAAAGCCCTGCTCTGGATACCCACAATTCCTGAGCTCACCCAGCTGACTAGGAAGATCTGATGGCACAATCCCAGATGCCATGCCACCTGCAACCCACAGCTGCCTGCTGCTGCCTCCCTGCTGCTCACCTCCACTATACGTGACTCGAGCTGTTCCACAGACTCGGGCTCTCGGCCATGCGCGGCACTCATCATCTGCCTCTTCATCAGGCCGTACTTGTGCAGTGCCCGCTGATGCTTGTGAAGCACACCCTTCTCATGTCGTTCACACAGGTCCTGCGGAGAGGGAAGCACACTCACCTACTGCAGCACACCCTAAAGGGACCCAGAGCCTGGGAGCTCTGGACACCTTCAAACACTCCCATCTGAACAGGAAAAGTGTGAGAAGGGGAGAGCAGAGGCAGCCAGGAGAAGGGTGCATGCTGACTGGCAGTGAGCAATCAGGGCCTTTGGGAGGACCGGCTTGTCCTGTTCAGATAAGAGTCCAGGACAGGACTGGGGGTGGGGTTGGGGGGGTGATGACCTGAGTTTGAGTCCCAGGACCCACATGATGGAAAAAGAAAGCAAGAACTGATTCCAGCAAGCTGTGCTCTACCTCTGCACATGCATAAACACAGACACACAAATTAATATAAGTAAAATAAGACAGAAACACACACACTCAGGTTCAGAGGCAAGCCCCATTCGGATCCTACCTGGATCAGGTTAGTTTGTGCAATGGCAAACTACACTACCCCAGACCCCAGAAGAGAATCTCCCTTCAAGAAAAGGATTTGTACAGTTTGGGGCCCTCAGGCAGACCCAACCTTAGACTACTAATACTACCAACTCTAGACAGCCACTGTCTTACTGATGGTAGGACAGTGTGCCTGAGAAAGAAGACATATTGGCATCAATTGTCTTCCCCAGTCAGAACCTAACAGGAGGTCAGGTATGGTGGCACACACAGGAAACACAAGCCCCTGAACAGCAGAAGCCATGTGTTAGCATTTCAGTCAACAGAGCAAACTTTCCAAAAAAATTCCCTGTAAGCACTGGGCCAAGCTCTCCTGGAGCTCTTTAATAGTGAATTAAGGTTTCCCTTGCTCCTTAAAGTGATCCACCTCTCTGTGAACTCCAAACACTCTGAAAGTCACCTTGGTCATAAGCTCAGCTTGGCTTCCCAGAATCCTTGCCCACGAGAAGCAGTAAAGCCCCTGCATATGGACCAGGACCCCAGTGGCTCACAAGGGAGCACATATTCACTCATCTTGGTTTCTACCACGCACTGCAATTATCTCCACCTCCACTAGGGGGCTCTTTTGGGTGCTAGCAGGAGCCCTGAGCTAGCCTCAGGCAGACAGGTTTCCTTGTGGCAGGATGTGAGCAGAGACATCTTGAAGCAGAGCAGCTGTGGTGACTCACATGAGCTCCTCATGAGATCAGGCCTGCTAACACTTCCTCATGGAGGATGCGGGACACTTATAGGATTTCCCCAAGATTACAAAGTGAAAACTGAATGGGGAGTGGGAGGGACCACACTTTATTCATGCAGCCATCTGTGAAACATGCTTGCTTCTGTAACCAGTTCCAAAAACTTCAGCAACTAGAATCTCTTTCCTTGTCTTCTTTGCATCTTTCCTCAGATAAAGTCACAGAAAATCACGACAGTCCCTTTCCTGCACAGCCTTAACCTCATACCTGTCAACAATCCCAAGGTCACTATCAGACAGAATGTTGGAGACTCACTTTGTAGGACTGCAGTAAATCCAAGAAGAGGTTCAGCTTCTCCACCACATCATTCTCCTCCTTTTTACCCTAGGAACAAGGATGAGTTAACCAACCAGAACACACACACCTGGGAACTCACCCCATACCTAACCACAGCTCAGAGGCGAGTTAAAATTAACCAACATGTTGTGCCACCCCAAATCCAGCAACTCCCAGAGAGCTCACTCCCCAACCATGGCCTGGCAGGCCTCCTCCTAAGCCACCAGCTCAAGCTTCAGGAGGCCCAGATTCCCACTGAGAGCCCTGCAGGCTGATGCAGAGATATCCTCAAACCTGGCAGTTATGAGACAGAGCAGCACCCTCTCCACTCCAGATAATGTCTCCTTTAGGTCTCCCATGTGCAGTGTCTCACCGCTAGGATAGAGTCACACCTCATGCTGGCCCAGCAACTCTGCCCAACACATAACCAATTCTCTTTGAAGCTATGCACGTCCAAAGGGAGGCACATGGAGGAAGGATGCTGGGAGAGAGGCACTTTCACAATAAAGAAAGAGGTCTGGAAAGGGATATGGAGAGACCAGAGAGGTACAAAGGACCCGGTATGAAGGAGTCATGAGTGGAATAGAGGAAGCCAAAGCAGGGGAGGATGAGATACAGGATACAGGCTCGGGATGCTGTTTACAAGCCACATGACAACTGCGACAAGTAGACAGACATACAGAGAGCCCTATTAGTATATCAGGTGATGAGGAAAATGCCCAATGCTGAAACTCATCCATGGTACCCTGGGGACAAGAATAAGCAGTGGCTCACATGCTGTCTGGCTTCCAACATGCATATAGCAGAAGCACTCTAGAGACAAATGACAGCTATGGGCCATACTGCCCATATGTGTGCATGCACACATGTCCCAGCCAACACATGCCTAAAGCTCCAGCTGTAAGCAAGAGATATGCTTACCCCAGAAGCCACACATCGACTTGTGCACAAAGAATCTTTTGGGTAAGAGGCGGAAGAGTGACAGAAAATGAAGACACTTTCATGGAAACACAGGAACTGGACTGAGACTCAGATGTGGCCACCTCAGGGGGACTCTGGGATGTCCCCCAAAACTTCAGTTCACTAAATCAAGAGGTTCCCAGGTAACTCAATCTCACAACTGCAGCCAGTTCAGATACTTGGTAACAAGTTCCAGGATATTGATAGGTGAGCCAAAAGTTTTCCAAGTAAGGAGAGAAGCTTGGGCAGATGACTTAGACAGCAAAGTGCTTACCATACAAATGTGAGGTCCTGAGTTCAAATTCCCAGCACTCACATAAAAAGCCAGGAATGTTACTATGCTTAATGTAACTTCAGAGCTGGGAGGTAGAAAGCAGACACACCCAGGAGCTTAAAAGCTTGCAAGCCATCTGATCTAGCTAAACTGCAAAGCTCCAGGTTCAGTGAGAGACCCTGTCTCAAAAAGTAAGGTAAAGCTGGGTATGGTGGCAAACTTGAAGGGCAGCAGCAGATGGATGTCTGTGAGTGTCAAACCAGTGAGACCCCTACCCAGACAAACATACATACATACATACATACATACCTTTTTAAAGAAAGCAAAAAGAAAAGATAGAGGGGCTAGAGAGAGATGGCTCAGCAGCTAAGAGCACTGGCTGCTCTTGCAGAGGACCTAGGCTCAATTCTCAACACCTAAGTGGCAGCTCACCACTGACTATAACTTTTAGTTCCATGGGATCCAATGCCCTCTTTGGCTTCTGTGGGTAGTGGGCACACACAGGCTTCACAGACATTCAGACAAAACATCTAAACACATAATAAATTAATTTTTAAAATTTAAAAAAAGATGAAGAATAGTATACAAAGATACATGATATAAACATCTGGCTTCCATACAAATGCACACACATGTATACACCACACACATAGTAATGATTTAAAAGGGGGTAGGGCTAGAGAGATGGCTCAGAGGTTAAGAACACTGGCTGCTCTTCCAGAGGTCCTGAGCTCAAATTCCAGCAACCACATGGTGGCTCACAACCATCTATAATGAGATCTGGTGCCCTCTTCTGGCATGCAGGGATACATGCAGACAGAACACTATACATAATTAGTCTTTTAAAAAGACACAAGAAAGGGAAACACTGACATAGTTATCCTGTGCTAGTTGACAGAGTGGGGCTTTTTCCCTGGTGTAATAGGAAAGGGGATTTTTGACTCATTGGCCATAATATCCCATCTGTATGTACAAGACCTGACCAAAAACAAAAGGCAGGCAAATCTCTGTGAATTCGAGATTAACCTGATCTACAGAGTGAGTTCCAGGACAGCCAGGGCTACACAGGGAAACCCTGTCTAAAAAGAAAACAAAAAGAGTGAGAGACCTTGACCATCCAAGCACATGCCTTTAGGAAATGCACAGCATAGGGGCTGGAGCGATTGATTCCTCAACAGGTAATAGCATTTGTTAGGCAAGTATGTGTACCTGGATTCAGATCTCAACACTCAGGTAAAGCTGGGGGTAGCCACTGTACCCCAGTGCTGTGAGGCAGAAACCTGAGGATCAGTGGGGATTGTTGGCCACCTGCCTAGGCCAGGTTCAGTAAGAGACCCCGCCTCAAGACAACAGTGCACAATGATGAAGACCCTGACATCCTCTTCTGACCTCCTCTCTCTCTCTCTCTCTCTCTCTCTCTCTCTCTCTCTCTCTCTCTCTCTCTCTCACACACACACACACACACACACACACACAGGCATGCACGCACCAAGATGGGTATATTTGTGCACTCAGGAGGCAGAGGCAGGAGGATCACAAATTCAAGGCCAGGCTAGGCTACAAAGTGAGTAGCAGATCATCAGCTTTAGGAACAAAGTAAGAACCCTGTCCCCCAAAAATCTAAGACTCTAAACTAAACAAAATTCCATTAACCCCAGTTACCTGAGTAATGGGAGGAATATCAAGAAAGTAGTACAGCTGCCCAAAGTTAAGTTTCGATAAAGAACTTGAAAATGTCAAAGAAGCACAGGGCTGGCAAGAGCCTACTCATTCTCCATCCAGGGCTCTGGGTACACAAACTTCAAGACGGAGCCAGATGAATCAGAAAGGCTCCAGGCAGAGATTTTCATCCCATGCTCTACAGATCCCACTGAGTACAGAGAAGCCTGCCCAGGCTCTGTGACAAACAGCTTCACGTATGCTTCTTGAACCCACACTTGGAGGACAGTCACACTGATAAAAGCAAGTAGCCTGGGGCTGGTGAGAGGGCCCAGCACATTAGAACACTCACTGCCAACACTGACAACTGAATTCAATGCCAAGGCCCCATTGGGTGGGAGAAGAGAACTGGCTCCCACTTGTTCTCTGGCCTCCAGGAGCATACATGCAACACACACACACACACACACACACACACACACACATGTGCACGCTCATTTAACAAAGAAAATAGTCAGCAAGGGAATAGTGGCACATGCTGTTAATCCCAGCACTCTAGGGGCAGAGGCAGGTGGAGTTCCAGAACTCGTCTCCAAAGAAACTAGAAAGAGAGAGAGAGAGGAAGGCAGGACGGACAGAAAAAAGGCAGAAAAAGGCAGGAAGGAAGGAAGGAAGGAAGGAAGGAAGGAAGGAAGCAAGCAAGGAAGCAAGCAAGGAAGGAAGGAAGGAAGGAAGCAAGGAAGCAAGGAAGGAAGCAAGGAAGGAAGGAAGGAAGGAAGGAAGCAAGCAAGCAAGGAAGGAAGGAAGGTAGGTGGGTAGGTAGTTGGGGCTAATGAGTTGACTTGGTGGTTAAATGCACCTGCTGTGAGTGCAACCCTGTTAACCTGAGTTCAATTCCCAAAACTCACATAAAACACCTGGTCAGCTCCAGAGTCAGGAAACTGAAACAGAAATACTTGGAAGCTTTCATGTGACCACCCTGGAGTATACAGTAGACATAAAAGACCTGCCTCAACAAGGGGAAGGGGAGAAAATGGACTCTCCAAAGTTGTCCTTTGACCTCCACGCATGCACTTTGGTACATCACACACACACACACACACACACACACACACACACAAATAAAAAAAAGGTGGGAGATGTGTTGATGATCTAGTTCAGCCCTCTGATATCCAATCAAGCCTCTCCATCCTGTCAAGCCCCTGACACCTCAAGTCTTGGCCCTCTCTACCACAGAAAGGAATACTAAGAATGGGAAGGAATAAACTAACATTGATTAAGAGGGTTAGTGAGATGGCTCAGTGGGGAAAGACACCACCAACCTTCAGGCCTGAGTTCAAATCCAGAACCCATGCCTTAGCAGAGTACCAACCTGTGTGACCTCTACATGCGCATTGTGGTACACATGCACCATCCCTCCCATATGATACTTAAACAGCAGTTTAAAAATTAGGGGGCTGGAGAGACGGCTCGCTGGTGAAAGCACTTGTTGCTCTTGCAGAAGACCTGAGTGCAGTTCCAGCACCCACATGACGTGGCTCATAGCCTACTGAAACTCCAGCTCCTGGGGATTTGACACCCTCTTCTGGGTTCCTCAGGCACTTGCACACCACAAACACTCATTTATATAGACACAAATGCATAAACATAAATAAGATTTTTTTTTTCATTAAAAAGGCAAAAGATAACAATAAAGGTTGGGGAGATAAAGTGCTGGCCTTGCAAGGATGAGGACCCAAGTTCAAACCTCAGAATCCACATGAAAATTCAAGGTATAATGGCTTCCCAGTACTAGGAGATGGAAACATGATCATCTCTGGGGCTCAATGACCAGACGATCTGGCCTAATTGGTGAACTCAGGACAACAAATAACCCTGTCTCAAAGGAGATAGATAGCACACTTAAGGATGACATATGAACCTGTCTCCTGATCTCCAGACATGTGTGAACATAACACATGTGTACCTGTATACACATAAACCATACACATTAGAAAAACACAGGCACATTTCTAAAGGAAACATACTGGCTCTGGGAGGAAGAAAATCAGGGACTTTCCACACAAACAAAGCGGTCAAATTCCCTCTTTCACAGAAACCTCATGGGCACAGGGCTTCCAGCCTCTACAGAGAAAATCCCCCAAGTCCCCAGCAGGTGCATCGCCCCAGATAGGCAACTGAAAAGCTCTGGTCCTGAGCTCAAGGGGCATCCCAGACAGAAGTGCCAGCTATTCAGAAGACAGATGCAGGGGGCTTGTAAGTTCAAGGCTAGACATCTTGGTGAGACACTGTCTCTACACCAATGACCCCCCCCAAAAAAAAAAGCAAACAGGGCTAGTTGTGTAGCTTAGTGGCTGAGCACATGCCCAGAATCCTCCCAGTGTCAGGCTAAGGGTGGCTCAGTGATCAAGCTCCTGTCTAACATGTGCAAGGCCCTCACCTCAGTTCACTACATAAAACAAAAACAAATACATAAATTAAAAACTAAGAACGCCTCTTGCACACACAGCAGCAGAACTTTTTGAAGTGGATTCAGAGGAGGAAGTCTCTTGGGGGCACTGAGCACTTAGTTATTATTCCAATGGGTTAAGTTACTGGTTGCCAGGTACAAGCTGGCACAATGGGAAATATGTGGTCCATCCAGAAGCAAACTACAAGCGCAACTACAATGCCAAGGATACATTTAACCTCAGCAACATCAGGGTTGGGGACAAGGACCTAATCTGTTTCTGCCACTAGGGGTCTTCTCAGAAGCATAAATGGCTCAGGGGGAGCCACCCATAACAGACAGGCACAGACAATCTCTCTACTCAGAGACAGGAGATCATCCACACAGAGCTCTCAAAGCCAGGCTAATGAAAAGGTGCTCAACCACACAGGACAGCATGTTCTGGGACAAGGGATGCATGGAGAACGAAACCACTCACCTGCTGAGCAGCCTTGTCTGCAAGCAGTGCGAACTCCACGGATAGGCCCTTGAGTGCTTGCTTCAGGGAGCCCCACGTGCTGAGGTGCAGAGCAGCCCAGGACGGCAGAGGGGTTGTGTCAGAGCCTAGAGCACTATAAGAACAGAACACACACTCACCTGCCTGTCCCTTCCCTAGATGTGTGATCCAGGAGGGTCAGAGCTCCAGGAAGGGATCTGAGATTCTTAAAAGTTCAATAGGGATGTTTGGAAGTAGTTGAGGAAGGCAGGGTCTCAGGCCCCTCTAGACCCAGAAAATCACTGCTACTGCCAACAAGACCGGAAGGTCTGTGTGCTGGGGAAGTTGGGTCCTACATTCCTATAAAGGAAACCTGGTCTACCACTGGCTGCTCTCACCAAGGCAAATGGCTCTGTGTGTGTGTGTGTGTGTGTGTGTGTGTGTTTGAGACAGGGTTTCTCTGTATTGCTTTGAAACCTGGTCTACCACTGGCTGCTCTCACCAAGGCAAATGGCTCTGTGTGTGTGTGTGTGTGTTTGAGACAGGGTTTCTCTGTATTGCTTTGGAGCCTGCCCTGGAACTAGCTCTGTAGATCAGGCTGGACTCGAACTCATAAAGATCTGCCTGCCTCTCGAGTGCTGGGATTAAAGGCGTGGGCCACCAATGCCCGGCTTCATGAAGGGGTTTTCTAGACTGGGTTAACTAAGATGGAAAGACCCACGGATGAGGGTCATCATTCCCTGGTCTGAGGTCCTGGGCTGAATAAAAAAGAGGAAGCATCCATCTCTCTCTGCCTCCTGCTCTTGCTACCATGCTCTCCAACCATGATGGACTGTGTTACACTCAAACTGAGAACCAAAAACACTTCTCTCCTTCCAAAAGTTGCTGCTGCCAGGTATTTTCTTAAAGTAGTGAAAGGTGCCAAGAAGACTGCACTATGAGCAGCTATGGTAGGTGTGTAAAGACTTCAGCATCCGCACCCCCCCCAATGCTTTCTCCTGCCCCCTCCCACCACCTATGGATCAGTGCAATGCGTCAGGATGGTTGGGAGCAACCCCCAACCTGATTCTTGTCACAGTCCCTACAGGGCCACATGCCTGAGCTCCTTCCCAAATATGAGAAGATCAGCAGCGTTGTCGATGGCCCGGGATGCTATCCGCTCGGCTCTGTCTCGAAGCTTGTAGAAGCTGTTATAGACATTTCGAATCAGCTCCCGGCTCATGGCAAATTGGGTCTGGATGTCAGCTGGAAGGAAGTCCTAGAAAAGGGTGACAAGAAAAGACAGTGGCCTGCTGCTTAGTCTGAGAGAGAGGACATCCTGGAGTCTGCTTGCTCATCTGTTACAAGCTAAACCCCACTGCCAACAAGGTGGATCCCGCCACCCAAAAGAAGCATGGTGAGGGTCATCAAGGGTTAGCACTACCGTCTTCTTAAGAGGGGAAGGAACACTCAAAATCGGAAAACTACCTTGGCCCTAGCAGCCAGCTTACAGTTCGTGAATTCATCTCCCACGCACTGGGCTGCCTCCTTGAGCTTGTGCTGAACATCCTGAAAGAGGAAAGAGACAGCTTCACCATCTACTGCCAGCAATGACACCCAGATGAGAGCAAGTGAGCTCCTTAAAAGTCCAACCAACGAAAGAGCTAGGCTTGGTGATGCTTGCCTGTTATCTTAGCACTGGGGAGACCTCAGCAGGAGAAAGAGCTCCAGCACAGTCTGAGCTACACAACAAGACTCTGTCCCAAGTAAGTGGAGCTGAGGAGATGGTCCAGTAGGTAAGAGCTCTTGCTACACGAGCATGAAGAACCAATTCAGAATCTCTAGAACCCAGGTAAAGATCTAAGTGATGCTTCCTTCATATGCCTGTAACCTAGCACAGGGGAGCAGAGACAGGATGGTTGGCCATTTCTGGCTGCCAGCATAACTCCATGAGGGACCCTGTCTCAAAGAAGTAAGGTGGAGGGTGATGGAGCAGAACACCTGACGTCCTCCTTCAGCTTCTATGCATGCACACATAGGCATGCACACAGGCGTTCACATCTGCACACATACACTACAGGCATGTACATGCACACACGCGCGCATGCACACACACTCACACAAACACACACACAAAATATTAAAAGAGAGAAGAGAGCAGGAGGCAAACAACCGCAAGCTTCTTTAGGAATTTGATATGGTGGTGCATGCCTGCAATCCCAGAAGGCTACAGCAGGGGGATAACTCCCAAGTTCCAGTCCCTGTTTCAAAAAAAAAAAAAAAACATAAAAACAGGCAGGTTCTCCTGAAGAGAAGCTTGCTTTTTTGCATTTGCTGGTCCATCGGCATTCCAGAATGTCTTTGCTGTCTCACAGACTCGTTAGGGTTAAACTGTAGGAAGTTTAACAGAAGGACAGGAGCACAGCCAAGCCCCTCCTCCTGTACAGAGCAAAGCTCCTGTCCAGAATCAGAGTTCTACCTATAACAGGCTTGGCATGGACCCCAGAGACAGACATGGCGCCACAGGACCCTTCGGACTCTATGCAGCCGGGGACAGGAAGAGAGACTGATGCTTCCTGTGAACAGATCCTCAGGGTTAGGAATTTGTAGAGCACTGAAATGGCTGGTGAGAAAGGAAAGGTAGCAAATACTGGTCACAGGCCAGGCCCTAACATGTGGCACTGGACGGAGGAAGGCCTCACTGACAAAGCTAAGCCTTCAAACCAGGCAAACACCTGGGAAACACAGAAACACATAGTAGGCAGCCAAGCCTATGTGGAGGGGCTTGAAGACCATTTCTAGTTCTTCTACCAAAAAGGGAAGCTGAGGATCAGGGACATTACAGACACACACCATCCATGGATAGACAAAGAGACAAGAGACCTTCCTGTCATCATAAGAAGGGCTATACTGCACCTGACTTCCTAAGCCTCTGCCTGGAATGTAGATGGCTTCCAGGTTCCACCCTCATTCCTGCTCTGGAATCCAACACCACTGCATCCCAGGCCTCAAAGGCCACTCTAGGGCTAGCAGTCAGAATTCCTAAAGACGAGGTAGGTACCTACCATGGCTTAAGGTTTGAAGACAGCACCACAAAAAATAGACAAGGCTGTAAGCACCTACACTATCCACTGTAGTGGAGAGTTACCCGGGAATGTCTGGTGAAAGTGAACGCCTGAGACCTTCCTAAAGAGACCAGCTGCCACTTAGGAACTAAAATCAAGTGCAAAAGTTGGGCTGGTTTGGGGGAGATGGCTCAGTGGGTAGGACTGTTGGCAGCTAACACATGAGGATATGAGCCTGACACTCCAGCACCCATGTAAAAAGCTGTACATGATCATGGGTACCTATAACCCCAGCACTGAAGGAAGCAGAGACAGGAAAATGGCTGGGGCTGGGTGGCTACCAGCCTGTCTCCAGGCCCAGTGAAAGACCCTATCCCTAGGGAGTGAAGAGGGATAGAACAGGACATCTGACATCTTCCTCTAACATCTTCCTCTACCCTCAGCATGTACACATGCACACGCGCACACACACACCCCACACAAGCATATAAAACAAACTGGGTTCACTCCTGACTACCCAATGTCCTCTGCCCTACAGCTGGGGAAGGCTGGAAGGCCCTGAGTGCCCATCCAAGCACACATTTCCCTGCCCTCCCATCACAGAGCCTGCTTGCCAAGAAGGACTGGCAGTATCTCCTACCTACAATTAAGAACCCCTGGGCTCTCCCCTAGGCACAGTGCTATCTAGAAAGGACCAGGCATACGCATCCTGCCCTAGACTCCACCACGGTCCCTGTTGAAAGAAAGTATGTATCTCCTGGGGACCAACCATGGCAACAGGCACATAAAGCCTCCAAGTCACACAAGGAGGCCTCTTTAAAAATGATGCCCAGTTTCTTCAGAAAGAAACCTTGCTCTGACAATCACAAACAAATCCTCTCCGGACATTCAAACGAGGGACAGGAGGCAGGAGAAGAAATACAGGTTCAAGAAATAAAATCCAGGTATGGGCTCCTAGCACTGGGGAGGCTGAGAGAGAAGGATTGCTTCTGGGATGAGCCCAAGCTGGGCCAGCCTGGGCGTGCAAAAAGGTCTCAAACAAAGAAGAATGCAGCAAGAGTTCCGGGCCCCAGAACTCCACCAGGACAGGATCCCAAGGGACACACTTACTGAGCCACTGAAAGAGAGGAAGAGTTTGAGGAGCACATCCTCTGAGAAGGGCGGGTGCCGGGCCACCAGGTTGATGAAGCGCTTCAGGGCCCTCCGGCGGCCCTCGATGAACTCCCTGTCAGCTGGAGGAGAGTACAAAGTCACCACGGAGTCGGCAGAGCCCCCGTACAGGACAGGCTCCCAAGCACCTCATCAGAAGCTAAGAACAGAGGGCAACAGAGCCCCACCTCTGAGCCCCCAAAAACACATGGGTGGAGGAGTGACCCAGACTCTCTGTTCAATGGAGAAACTGGGAGGTTGGGTGTGGTGGCACACATCTGTGTTCTTAAAGAAGACTACAGCAAGACGGAGTACAGCCTGAGCTACAGAATGTCTGAGGTCAGGCTGGACTACAGAGCAGGACCCTATCTCACATAAGCAGCAGTTCTGGGAACTGGTGTGACTCCACACAGACACCTACACCACAGGCAACTTAGGAAGGCGTGGCTATAACATTGTTATAAGCGTGCAGCTATCTCGTGCTGATAATGCAGCTCAGCTTCCCTGTGCTCATTGCTCTTAAGTTTATTATTATTAGGACAGGCATGGTGGCACAAGCCTTTAATTCAGCACATTGGGGGCTGAGGCAGGAAGATTTCCATCTCAGTGGGTTCCAGGCATGTGGTGGCACATGCTTTTAATCCCGACACTCAGGAGGCAGAAGCCAGCTTGGCCTAAATAGCAAGTTCTAGAGCAGCCAAGGCTGCCTGTCTCAAACTAAAACAGGGAAAAGAAAATCACAGTGGGACAAAGCCACACCCATATCCACCCCACCTCAAGCTCTCCAGGTGTCCTTAAAGGCTGAGCTCTCAGAAATGTCCAATCAGGTGACAGTGTTTGCCTAGAGCTTCCAGAAACTAAAACTGGATGCAGGCAAGGGTCCCTTCCTGGCAGCTCACTGGTCAGTGAGGAACACAGCTGTCCCAGAGGTGTAGAGGGCTGGGAAGGAGTCAGGTCATCAGAAGCTGAGCCACCCAGCAGGTATAATATGTAACCTCAGCCAGGTAGTAGTGGTGTACACCTTTAATCCCAGCACTTGGGAGGTGGAAGCAGGAGGATCTCTGTGAATTTGAGGCCAGCCTGGTCTACAGAGCAAGTTCCAGGACAGGTTCCAAAGCTACAGAGAAACCCTGTCTCGAAAAAAAAAAAAAAAAAAAAAAAAACCACCCCCACCCCCACCCCCAAAAAAGAAGCAAGCCAACCAATACTAATCCCACATACAGCCTAAAGCACCCTGCAGGGGCAACACTGGGGCCAGAAAGCACCTGAGGCTGGCCACCCTCCTTTGCTAGAGCAGAGCTAAGCCAACAGCTATTACCCTAGAAGTGAGTGTACACTGCAGCCCTGTTGCCAGCCCCTTCTAGACCATAAAAAGCAGTATCCTGGGCTACAGTGGGCCCACCCAGCACCATGCCACCCAGGTGGGCAGCTTGGTCCCACTTCACTGGGCCTCCCTGAACCTGCCTTACCTCCCAGTACTCTCTTGGGTGGAAGGGCTGGCACCATGCGGTACGGGAACTTGTGAAGCAGCACTTCGTGGAAGACAACAAAGTCATTGTAGCGTCTGTACACGGAGGACTTGAAGCGCTACAAAACAAAGGGAGCATGGCTAGCAGGACATCAGCAACCACACCATTTCTTCTAGGCAGCTGCTCTAACACTGAGCTACACCCTAGCTCCTCACCAGGGGATTCTAGGCAGGGGCTCTACCACTGAGCCACACCCTAGCTCCTCACCGGGGGATTCTAGGCAGGTGTTCTACCACTGAGACATGCCTCAACCCCTTTTACATTTTGAAGACCACAGGATGCCAGGTGGACCTGCTGTCCCCAAAAAAAACATCCTGAGGAGACCCTCCAGAGCAATCCTGCACCACAAGTCCCAGGATGGTTTAACTGCTGGTGAGAAAACACCCTGAGAGGCCTGACTTTACAGAGCACAGAGGCCAGGCGGGAAGGGAGAGAGAGGACTGTGACTTTGGGGTTAGTTGTAGTACTTAGGACCTCCAGGCTAGTCTCAGTTACATGGTGAGACTGCCTTAAAAAAAGAGAGAGGGAGAGAGGGTTATATAGCTAGATCCTGTATGAGAGAAAGAGGAAAAAAAAGACAGAGAGAGACATTAAGATTTGTAAGAAAGGAGGATTTCACTCAAAGAATGGACCTAACTGAGTTGGAACCAGTGACAATCACTAGCAGGTATTCAGAAGTTGGCTGGCCAGTTCAACTGTGTCATCGGGTGCTGGGTCACACCCTGGAGCCAGCCAGACTCCTCTCCCACCAGTCCCAGGCTGGTCTGTGGCTCTCCCCTGAAGCACACTGTTGAGTCCCAGTTACCTGGCTGGAAACCTCATACTCCACATGCTTGAGGAATAGGCCCTTCTTCTCGGGGATGAGTTCCACCTGCACTGTGTCCCTGGCCAGCAGTTCCTGCAGGGTGTAGGACAGCAGCAACGGATTCCCCTGCGGCATCTGCATTCGCCCAGGGTCCAGGTCACGCCGCTCAGTGACCTGGGATGTTCGTGGGCCTGAAGGAGACAAGGCAGGTGACAGGTAAAGACAGCTATGGGGCCTCCCTGTATTCTATGCTGGCTCAGCACATAGACTCTGGCCACAGCCACAAATCCACACCAGACCCACCCCTTCCTCAGGCTACACACCCAGCTTCTAGGAAGCTTCATTTGTGTGAATGGGTAAGCTCATGGAGAACTATTACATTGCAGTGAGGGAGAGAGGTAATGCTTGAAATTTAACAACAATCAAGTTATAAAAGCATTCCTCCAAAGATGTACAATGACCAAAAAGCACTTGGAGAGATGTGCATAGCATGACCACCAGGAAAACATGAACCACAGCAACAGAAAGACACCACCACAATGGTATTGATAAAACCATGTCAGTGCACAAGCATGTAGAGGTCAGGTCAACCTTTCATGTTATTCTTCATGTCATCTACCTCATCTTTTAAGATATGTGTGTTTGCTTTCACATATGTAAATATAGCAGGTTCATGCAGTGCCCATGGAAGCCAGAAAAGGGCGTTGGATGCCCTGGACCTGGAGTTAACACACAGCTGTTAGTTGTAGTGCTAGGAATTGATCTTGGGTCCTCTAGGAGAGTCGCCAATGCTCTAAACTACTGAGCCATTTCTCCTGTGTTGGGGGATGTTCTTCTGTATATATGTATGTTTCTCTTATTGGTTGATGAATAAAACACTGTTTGGCCAGTAGCCAGAATAGGCAGGAAGATAGGCAGGGCTAAGAGATGAGAATTCTGGGAAAAGCAGGCAGAGAGGGTGTGAAAGGGACACCTTGTATTGGAGGAAGGAATAATAGGTTCGGACCCTTCTCTGTTAAGACCACATGGAAATACTTATAGGAATTTGTTAATAATTAAGACAGAGCTAGACAATAAGAAGCCCTAGCCATTGGCCAACGGTTTTATAACTAGTATAGTGTCCATTTGTTTATTTGGGGAAAGGTGGCTGCCGAACCAGGCTGGAAAAAGAAACTGCAACAACACTCCTGACCCTCCTTTTGCTTTTGTTTCTTCAGACAGGTTCTTGTGGAGAGCCAAGGACACTCTGAGTGAATGTGTAAGTGGATGAAGAAATGACTGAATGTGTATTGGTGACATGGCACAGCCATGCCAAGGATACCAATGCCTCAGACCCATGGGAACTGGCAAAACCTCCCTCCTGTAAAGCGAGGCTCAGAGGCATTGCAAAGCCTCTCCTGGTCCAAGAACAAGTGTTTGCCAACCATTGGTCACTGTGTGCAAAAACAACTGCAGCTTCCTCTTCCCAGGCTAAGCTGAGGTTCCAAGTTGTTTATAGCTGGAACTGTGCAATCAGAGCGAGCATGACACACCCACCCCAGCTTTTCTGTATTGCGTCTAAGTGTCTGTCCTTTCTTCATTCCCACACTGCCCCAGCCAGGGCTCTAGGAGCAAGTCATGACGGACTAGGTAGAGTCTCTTACTTGACCTAGAATTCAACAATTCAACAAGGAAGAGACCCAACCTCATCCAAGAACTTTCCTGTCTCTGCCTCTTCCACATCACTACACCTGGCCTTTTATGTGGATTCTGGGAAGCAAAGCTCAGGTCCTTTACCTGTACAGCAAGCACTTTATCAAGTAAGTTAGCTGCCTGTCTATAATGAAAAATGGATTGGCTTTCTCCTTGTTTTTATGTTCTGAGTCAGGGCCCCATATATCCCACGATGGCATCAAATCCGCATGTAGGTAAGGATGACCTGGAAGTTGCAATTCTTCTGCCTCAAATTCCCAGGCATTATAGGGGATGCACCATTATACTCAACTCAGAGGCTTTCTGAAATGGTAGCATGTTCTTAAAATGCTTTAAATATTTTTATACTTAAAATAACAGCAGCCAGTGCTCTTAACTGGTGAGCCATCCACCTCTCCAGCCACAAAAGGTCTCTCTTAGCTACTTTTCTATTGCAGAAAAAGACATCATGATCAAGATGACTTATAAAAGAACGCATCTAATTGGAGGCTTGCTTACAGTTTCAGAGGGCGAGTCCCTGACCATTATGGCAGACAGCATGGCGGCAGGCATGGCACTGGAGCAGTAGCTGATAACTTACATGTTGAAATAACTTCTAGGCAGAAAGAGAACCAACTGGAATGCTGTGGGCTTTTGAACCTCAAAGCCCACCCCCAGTGACACACCTCCTCCAATAAGACCACACCTCCTAATCCTTCCCAAATAGTTCCACCAAAGTCTATAGGGCCATTCTCATTCAAGCCACCACAAAGACCTTTCTTAGCATTTTCTGATACATAGTTCTGGAGACTGGAAAATGGGACAGGGGATGGGGGGTGAGAGGGTGGGGTGATGGAGGGAGGCTGCTGTTGAGGCAGCGAGGCTAAGAGCAAGCTAACAGAATCTTGAAAAAACTGAAGCAGAAGTGATTGTGTACAAGGAAACACTAAAGTCAAATCAACAGACAACTTTATCTAAACCACAGAAGTCAGAGGACAGACACAGAAGCACACACCTGTAATCGCAGCACTTAGGAAGTGAAGACAGGAGGCTCAGGAGTTCAAAACAAGAAAGAGAGTGATGTAGGCAGGACATGATGGTGCACACAGGTAATCTAGCACCAGAGGCTGAGGCAGGAGGATCCTGATCTCCAGGCCAGCCTGGTCTCAGAAAATAAAATGATAAAAAACAAAATCCTGATGGTGACACATGCCTATAATCCCAGAACCTGGGAGGCGGAGGCAGGACAACCACAGCCTGCCTTAAGTCTAAAGCCAGCCTGAGATACAGTGTGACAACCTATCTCAAGGCATGATACCTGTTGAAAACACCAACATAATATAGGGACAGAAAAATGAACAGAGCCTGCAGAAGGAAAATAAACAGACGTGCAACAGAGGTCTCCATTAGAAAATATTTTTTCCCCAGACAGGGTCTCACTACCTTATGTCTGGCTGGCAGAAACTCGAAACATAGACCAGTCTAGCCTTGAACTCAACAAATATTGCCTGTCTTGGCATCCCAGGCACTGGAATCACATTGGAGGGCCACCGTGCCTGGCTGAATCTTTTTCAAAGTTCTCTATTAAGCATTTATTTATTTTAAGATTTCCCCAAAGACTAAGGTAAGACAGTCCTCTAAGACAGCCTGAAATCTTACTAATGATTAGCAAAGAATCACATGTGGGTGAAGAATGTGAACTTTGAACACAGGATGATCTAAAAGGCAGGTCTACAGCACAAACAGCATCTCCACCCCAGCTTCTCTCTAACACCCTGGGAAAGCAGGTGTAACCCTGGGCCCCCTCAGGAGTTACAGAAACAGGAACAGACTCCTTGATCACCCCGTCTACAAGTCTCAAAAAATAAGGAGAGGGATTAGTAAGATGCCACCAACTCCCTCAAGTCCTCCTGACTTCCACAAACATACTATAACTGATATACACACCCCAACCCAAACAATTAGACTAAAAAGCTAAATATAATATATATATGGGGAGGGGGTTGTAGGGAAAAAGGCCAGTCAGTACTTACTGTGTACACACTATGACCTAACTTATCCCTAGCACCCATGACTCCAGGCTAGGCATAATGGCACACACTAACAATCCCAGCACTGGGAGGGGCAGAGACAGGAGGACAGCAGGGATTGTTGGCCAGCCAGCCTACCCTAGCCTAATCATCAAGCTCTAGGCTAATAAGTGACCCTGTCTCAAAGTAAGTAAACACTGTTTCTGAGAATGACACACCTGAGGTTGTCCACTGGTATATACATACTCATGCACAATCATACACTCACAAGAACACACACACTCTTAAAAAAAAAAAAAAAAAACTAGTAAGAGGCCATGTCTCAGAAACAGGGCTGGCTGGAACTGGAGAGATGGCTGTGCAGTTAAGTACACTTGCTGTTCTTGTAGAGGACCCAGATTCGGTTCACAAACCAACTGTAACTCCAATTCCAGGAAATCCAATGCCCTCTTCTGGCCTCCACAGTCACCACACATACAAAGGGTGCACATACATACATGCAGACAAAATACTTAAACACATAAAATAGACAGACAAATAAGAAAGGAGGGAGGGAGGGAGTTTATGTGCACAGCATGCATGCTGGAGCCCAGAGGCCACAAGAGGGTAGTGCTGGATCCCCTGAAATTGGACTTACAGGCAGCTGTGAGCCATCACATGGGTCCTCTATAAAAGAAGTATTCTCCAGTCCCTCAAAAGAAAAATTAAATGGGGGTGGGGGAGGCATACCTGTAATCCCAGCACTTCCAAGGCAAAGGCAGGAGGAGACCTTTGAGCTAAAAGCTACCAGAGCTACATACCCAGACTCTATCTCAAAAAAAAAAAGAAAAAGAAAAAAGTTTGTTTTGGAACAGCCACACTGTCACAAGTGGGCCACTAGCAGCAGTAAGGACAGAAACACGAAGAGAGAGTCTGGATTCTTTGGGATGAGCATCACAGATGGACTTAACCCTCTTATCAAACTGATGCCTTTTTCAACGTGTATGGTCACTGGAGACAGAGATACACTGCACACTACCCAAGCACCACAGAAATAAAACAGACTGGATGAGAGGCCAGCCAGGCCCCGGTGCTGAAAGGCAAAGGCGGACTCTGACAAGAGACAGCCTCCATATTGCTGCAGAGATGTGGGCCAGTGAGTGACCACCCCTGAGCATGGTATTTATCGATTATAAAATGGACATAAAGAGCCAGGTCAGGGAGCTGGTAAGAAGGCTCAGCAGACAAAAACACTTGCTACCAAGCCTGACCATCTTAGTTTGATCCCTGGGAGTCAACTCTCACAAGTTGCCTTTGATTGCCACATTTGTACCATGGCACATGTAAACCCCAACCATAAATAAATGGATAGATATAATAAAAAAATTTCTAATAAGAGGTAAGCATAGTGGCACATGCCTATAGTCCCAGAACCCAGAAAGCAGAGGCTGGAGGATCCAGATTTTGAGGACAAATTGACCATACAGCAAAACCCAATTTCAACACACACA